GCGGGAGCTGACCCCCCAGACTCTTGCACTTCAGCGTCCCAGGCTGAGTGCCTCCGCAGGCCGATAGCTCCGTGGCCCTGCCCTGGCCGCTCGTGCTCGGCGCAGCACGAAGCCATCCCCGCTGGCCTGGCCCTTACCCCGTCTCCTCCTTCCCAGATGCCATCCGTGCTGTGTGTCTGCCACCCTCCCGCCAGGACCTCCTCCAGGGCACGCGGTGTTGGGTCTCTGGCTGGGGCTATACCAGACCAGACCAAGGTAAGCTCCCATCTGGTCCCCGCCGCCCCGCGCTGACCGGAGGCTTTCCCCTTGCTCCCCACCGGCCCTGTCCGGCCCCTTCCGCGCCGCGTGGGAGCTTGCAAATGCCCTTCCTGCCTTCATCCCACCCCTGCTCCAGCAGCTCTGCAGCCCACATCCACAGCTCCTGTGGGCCCGGCCATACTTAATCCCATAAAGTAATCCCATTTTTCCCATCTTCGGACTTCTCCAGCTAGCGCCCTGCTCTTCCCCTCTTGCTCCCCGCAGATCTTGTTTCCCTCTTGGCTTCTCTTCCTCCCTCCCCAGCGCAGGTTACCGAGACGCTGAAGGAAGCGCCCGTTCCCTTAATCGGTACCAAGAGGTGCAACAGTTCCTGCATGTACGCAGGCGAGGTCACTGCCAGGATGCTGTGTGCCGGCTACCCGCATGGAAAAATAGATGCGTGCCAGGTAACAGGAGGGCGCGAGCGCTGCACGCTGCGGGTGCGTGGCAGCTGTGGGAAGGACTGAGACGTCGCGTGTCCCTGTTAGGCTCCAGCAAATACCGGGTTTTGCGGGAACAGCTTGCAGCAACCAGTCTGTGCAGGGTAACGCTGGGCCCGTTGCATCTTGCGCCGCAGCGTGGAGCCTGCGGTGCCCCGGTGCATCGATGCCGGGCTGGGATTTGGCTATCCTTACAGAAGGAACGTGGGAACCTCGCGGGGAGGCACGCGCTACTCGTACCCGCGTTTCAGCGTCTCGTGTGGCCGACGGAACAAAGCTGTGCGGGAGAGGCCAGCCTGACCTGCATCCCAGCTGCCAGGGGGGCAGAGCGGCTTCACCGCGCCTCGCTCCGTCTTGCAGGGTGACAGCGGGGGCCCCCTGGTTTGCCAGGACGAACTCGCGTGGCGTTTGGTAGGCGTCGTGAGCTGGGGCCAGGGCTGCGCTGAACCCAACCGCCCTGGGGTTTACACCAACGTGGCTCAGCTGCTGCCATGGATTTATCACGTCACCGAGGTAAGCTGGAGCAAGCCGAGGCGCGTTCAGCCTGACCTACAGCCACGCACGTTGCACGAACAAATCCCAACGCTAGCGTCCTATTTCAGCTCTTTCCTTCGCTACCCTACGCTCACCCTTGACACGTGAACCTCTGGGACAGCCTCTCTTACGGTACTGATTCCTTTTTTTGGTTTCTCTTTTTTTTTTTTTTTTTTTTTTTTTTTTTTTTATTTTACATAAAAAAAG